TTAGAAATTACATAGAAAAATTCTTACGAGGAAAGGGAGTCAAGTGTCCCTCTGATTTTAATGAGCTTGAAATATCTTATTTTCTAGACAAACCAAGAATTAAGCAACCGCCACGAGACAATCGCATATTCGTCCCCGTTCGCGCTTTTAAGGGATGAAACATCCCTTAGAAAAAAAAATCGGTTTTGTTTATTTCGACTCTAATATCGTACGTTGAACTACGATTCTAACATTCGCATAGTAACAAGCATTTTATACTGTTGCTTATCATTATGTATGAACCCTATTCCAATAAAAATATTTCCGTGATTATACATATGCAGATGCGCAGACTGTTCCCGAAATAGAATTGTTTTCATCGATTTGACTTAATACTGATATCATTCAAATGCTTCGTAAGCATATATTGTCTAGGCGTGCGCAATAAAATTGATTCATAATTATATGTGCAGAATATTTCAGATGTGTTTTCATTGTTATCTGCCGTCAAATGTAAAAATTGCTTGCAGAATGTGCTGCGTGAAGAATTAAACGCATAAACAAGTATCAGATGGTGTGCATATAGAAATGTTTATAATTATTATATTTCTCAAGAATGATACTTCGAAAAAAAAACTTTATCGTACATAATTGAATTCGTCTTGTCTTAAAATAATCTTTAATTTGGTTTAAGAAAAATTTAAAAAATTAAAAAGAATATTTGGTTGAGGGTATACAAAAAATAAATAAATTATTGTAAATTATGAAGTACTTTTAAAGCAATTCAACTTTTATTTGAAACATATATTTTTTTTATCTTATAATTTCGACGATATTCGATTTGAAATAAAAAAACCGATTTTTTTTAAGAGAAAAGCGGTTGTTTAATTCTTGGTTTTGTCTAGAAAATAAGATATTCAAAGCTCATCAAAATCGGAGAGACACTTGGCTCCCTTTTCTTGTAAGAATTTTTCTATGCACAAATATTATTTTTATGAAAGATACAATTGTAAGACCAAATAACTCTGAAATTTCAAATAACATCGAAGATATCGAATTTTTCACCCTCTAAAAGTGCGTATGGGCACAAATATGCGGTTGTTTAATTCTTTTTGTTAAAAATTTTGTTAAAAAAATATTATATTCAAAGCTCATTAAAATCGAAGGACACTTGGATCTTTTCCTCGTTAAAATCTAATAAGGAAATGTCAACAGAAATGTAATTTTTTTTCTTTGCATATAAATTTTCCTTATGTATGTATGTGCAATGGCACAGTAAACGTGCGTCTGGAAAAATATTATTGAAAAATGTTCGTAGTTTGCATAACGCTGAGTTATTTAGATTAAAAAGAAACGACAACCGGTAAGAATTGATTGTTCTTTATTACAATAAATTTTTACGGTATATAATGATACAATAAAGATCTATAAGTTCTATGTCCACAACCGAATGGCAAATGCAGCTCCTCGTAAATTACATAACGTTCGATTACACTGTACAATTTCTAACCAGCACGCTCAGTCGCAATTTAATTTACACGTAGATCAAATGTGCGATAGTGAGGAAAATGGAAAGACATTTTCTTGGTCCGCGCAAGAAGAATCACGGGTCTTTCCGCGTGCGACGCGAGCAACACGTCACGGTGAATGATATATTACAAAAAGAATCTGTTACAAATAATAATAATTAGTAACACTTAATACAATATACACGATATACGTATTGGCTACATTATTACGTGTAAGATACCGCACAGCGTGCAGCGAGATTGAAAATCTGTACGGAGTATATTTCGTTTCTTGCAAGCATTTTTTTGCAAACGTTCTAGATTTCATTTTGATCATCATATAATACGATCGCGATAAAGATGAGGTGTACAAAAATACTTCGTGATATTGGTGATCAATATAATTTTTTGTATCTTCAATGTTAAAAAAAATGAATATATTATATATTCTCTTTTTTTCTATGTGAAAGCGACGTAGATTGCCTATATATATATATATATATATATATAAAATTGATATATGTGTGTTATTGGATGATTTGAAAATGGAGGAATAGATATTTTGAATTCGAATATTTGTCCCTTTAATTTTTGGAATGACTTGATTGATTACTTTATATACGAGAATATTATGAGAAAACATCAAAGCTGGAAAATTAAAGCTCCCAATGTGGTTGACTAAAAAATTATATAATTATAATATAATATTATCATCATTCTTTTTCCAAAATACAAAATGATAATAGATATATTGTATTGATTATAAAAGATATCAATATTATTTCAAAAGAAGATTGCCAATCTCGCGCGCGCACGCTCCTGCTTATCTATAGCAAATGCAAGGCTCGTAGGACAGAGTTCCCGCGAATTTATTAAATACAATAAAAATCCGTTTTGCATTATAAACTTTCTGCTCTTTCGTGTATTTTTTCTTCTTTTCTGTACAACATGGCACGTCCTATCGTACTGTTACTTGGTGCGAATCGCCGTATCCTGACGACATACGATCACTGATTTCGTTCGACTACCTTTCGTTTCTTACGCCTGTAGAGGTTTCCGTTTACTATACTACTCACTAAACTATGTACAAATTATGTTTCGTGTATAAAAAAATTGAATCGATAATTCCCATCCCAGGGCCAATTTTTCCACCGATTCCACTACAAAGACGATGGCATAAGAGGCAGAGAAAAAAAAACACTTGAGTCTCTTGTTCCTCCATTTTTAAGTAGAATCGCGTTCCTCTCGATTCGAATCTCGACGTGAGACAAATTCATTCTTCGGCAGTAAAATAGGACAATGTAGCTTCGCTGTCGTAACTTATTGCAGGGAAAAATGTTCCATTGCGGTATTTGAGTGTCTTAAGAAAGTAAAATAATTCATATCACAGTCAGCGGTGTATCGCACAAATATTGTGACCCGGTTGCCCTAGCGTTTAACAGTTCGAGCGGCAAGTAACTGATTTTTTTATCCCCTTCTGGTGAAAAAAATTCTCATATTTTCAAAAATTGTTTTATTTTAAATTTATGAAAATTGCTTAAAAAATACCTTAAATTTTTTCAGATTTATAAGTTTTTTTCAGAAATTATAAAATAAGAAATCTTGGAATATTGGAGATTTTACACACGAAGAATTCTAGAACATATATAATAGACTTTTTCAAAACTTCTGAAAAGTATTCCAATTCCAAAAAATATTCCAACTGTGAGACATTTTTTTAAATCAAATTATTCAGAAATTCTGAAATTTATATAAAAATTTTGAAAAATATAAAAAATTCTAAATAAAATTTTCATCAGAATCTTTTCCACATTATGATCTATCAAGCAGATTAAAAAGGCTGTTATTAATCAGATTTATATTGTGGAACGTTATTGCAAACTGGTCTTTGTAGCGGGACCGCTTAACTTTCACCATTCTAAGCGGAACACTTTACAAATACTAAAACATTTTTAAAAACATTAATTAATTTCTAACAAGAGTTCATATTAAACAAATGAAATTTAAAACATATTATATTATTGCCATTTCGAATGTACATAAGTAATTATATTCTACATTTGAAATTAAATTTAATACCAATATAAAAAAAAATGCTTTTAGTTAACAATATATTTAAATTTACGTTTTTTTTACAAATGAACATAAGACACGTTTATTATTTAATGATATAAATATTTTACATTAACAATTTTGTTCTGCATTTAACAAAAGAAATAAAATAAAAAAATGTTAAAACAGATCGTATATCTGTATAAAATGTATTGAACGATTTTTCAATACATTTCCAGTATTCCGCTATTAAATGCCTAAAACCGTTTTTTGCCATTAAAGTTTCAACAACAACCATGAATCTCTTCAAAGTTCGCGAGTGATTGCTGTAGACAATTTTAATTTTTCGATACTTTGCAATATAATTTTTTTTACAATAGAATTTTTTCTTTGCATTATAATCTGTCAATTATAAAATTTGCTTACATGAAAACATTGATCCGCATATTTAATAAAGTTTATTAACAAACAGATATCGTCATTGTAAATATACGTTCTTAAGGCGTATAGATATCTTTGCAAGAATGAATAATAAAATAAGATCAATTTTATGTCTATGAAGATTATAAAAATCAATATAATAAATTTGAACTATAATAACTGAGTCATTATTGCAAAGATAAATGTAGAGCAAATTTAGTCAAAGAAGTGAAACCATTTATATGTATCGTTTTCGACATTTTCAACCATTTTATGTATATAAAAACTAATTTCGAAAAAACTAAGTTCGAAAAGACCCAAAATATCTTAATACATGCCTGAAGAAAAGCTATTAAGCAAGGACGATATTGACGTTGCGATATTAGCGTTGCTGTCGCTGCGAATTAAGTCCTAGGATGTTTCTTGTATCGTCGAAAAACTAGTACGAAAAGTAATTTATTTACAAGCCACAAATGGCACATTAAGAATATCTTTGCACTACTTGTTCGCGAGTATCGCCGTCGCGCGATTCTTATTTCCGGTATATGTCATTATAGTCTCTTTCGTTTTTATACTTATACCTCGTGATACGCACGAATCTCTTAGTTCTAATCACAATCAAGCGCGGCACTTGAGCGAAGTGTCCTTTATAAGTACAATGGGTCCTGTACTCGGAAATTGAGTAACTATGATGCGGTCGGATGATGCTTAATGAGGAAGCATTTCAATGCTTTTCTATTTTCCCTTCAAGATTCATCTTTTATCCCAATAAAAGCTTCACTGATATGACCATTCGTGATCATATCAGAATCTTGAGTCTTTCTCGTATATCCTCAATAGCATCACACTAAAATCACACCGTTGTTTCGTTCTTTCTGAAAGGCTTCAACGGCTGCAATTCCCGTTCCAACCGATCGAAATCGTTGTAATATTCGTGATCCGATTCCTCTTCGGAACTTCGTTGCCTAATTTGAGACCCAAATACGCCATTTGGCAGAACTTTTTCCAAGTCCGGTGTGGGGATACCCAAAGTCTGCGGCGTGAGCGGACCCTCGTCCTGCGACATTATGTACTCCGGATTGTCCAGCGACGTCTTCCCTTGAATTGTCAGGAAGTCTGGATATTTCCGGAAGCCATTGTTCAACCGCTTTGTTTCGGGTTCTAAATAAAATAAAAATAGTTTCGGTTTTATAAAGAGCTTATATAAATAAATCAATTAGCAATTACACGTAAAAATTATATGTATACATAAAAATATAAATGCATTGAGAGAACTTGTGAAAATTAGCTTTAATGTATTTATCTTCAATATCGATAAAATTGCTAAAATAATATTGAAAAAACTCCCGAGATTGTCAAAAAATCAAAAATTTGTTAATTAAATTGCTAAAAGTAGCCAATCTTATTTCCGCTCACCTGTTGATTTAGAGTCCCCGATGAGATCTATATATTGTGTCGCGTTGACTGACGGCTGTGGCGTCGGTACGAGATAGTCATTCTCGTCTATCGGCAAGTCCAGTTTCAAGTTACCCACTTGAGCTTGCTGTTGGACGATGTTCACTTTCGTATCGAAACAATCGTCCGTGACGTCGCAATCTGAAATTCCCCCGTTGCTTCATTAATAAATTTACTTCATGTACTTCCGTATATGTATTTACTTGACTCAATATCAATCATTGTCGCAATCAGACAATATTCCATTTGATTTTTTTTTTTAGCAATCGATATTTTTGCTTACCTCTAACACCGACCATCTTCAACGGATCTGAGCAATATCTCGAATTCGAGCTATCCGGCACTGCGACGTGTCCGCAGTGACCATTGGGATGCGCGTAATGCGCGTGCTGGCCGGAATTGCCGGCCTCGTGCGACGCGTTTCCGCTCTCATGATTTCCGCCGTACCTCAGGAGCTCTCGGTCCCAGTTTTGCTGATTTTGCGGCGTCGGAGAATCAGCGGCGAGCGGCTTGCCGTTCGGCCAGCACGACTTCACCGGTGTATTCGGTGGCGAGCATCCGGAAGCGCTTGACGCGGAAATCGCGGGCGGAAGTGGAGCCCGCGATTTAGGTTGCAGATACTCGCCAGCATCCAGCAGGGCTTCAGGACCGTCCATCGCTGATGCGAGGTTTCGTATCATCTCCTTTTCGTTCTGAAAATTCACGTTAATAAGTCGAGACAATGTTAAACTGTGTTGTTGAATTTTCTTTCAACAATTTTTATCGCTACATAATTACTAGAAAAATTATGTTAATAAAATTGTCACATGCTAGAAATATACTAATTTTTGTCATGTTGCTCATTAGAAATTGATTAGATTATTACTGCTAATGAGATCTAGTATCTAATACTTTATTAGTTTGAGCTGTGTAAAAATGTACGAAAATTAATATAGACAATTTGAAGCATTATTAATAAAATTATGATGTAGTTATGCTAATAAAATTGATTGTAGCTTTAGTTAATGTCATCAATATATCAATTATCTTTAGTAATTAATAAAAAAATAAATTAATTACCTGTAGTATATACGAAGGCAGTCTCATGTATTTATCTCCTTTAATGGCAAGATATCGACCAGGATCTCTTGACATTTTCGCGAAGTCCTCTGCCAGATCCTTGAAGTGAGGCCTGGTCTCAGCATCAAGCATCCAACACTTAATCATAATCATATATACATCAATTGTGCAAATCGCGGGTTGCGGTAATCTTTCGCCCTTTTCCAACAGCTCCGGCACGTTACGAGCGGAAACGTTTTCGTACGGTCTACCACCGTAGGTGAGAACCTCCCAGATGGTCACTCCGAACGCCCACACGTCCGACTTGTGAGTAAATACCCTATGCTGAATGCATTCCAATGCCAGCCACTTGATTGGCATCTTCCCACCCGCGGCTTTATACTGCTCCTCGTTGATGTCCAACAATTTAGCGAGACCGAAGTCGGTGATCTTCACGCAGTTCGGAGTTTGGACGAGGACATTTCGCGCTGCCAAATCCCGGTGGACCAATCGCCTCTCCTCCAGGTAGGCCATACCCCTGGCGATTTGCGTGCACCAATTTAACAACGGCTTCGAGCCGATTTTATCCTTGAACTTGCGCACGAAGTCCAGCAGGCAGCCCAGAGGCATCAGCTGGGTCACCAACATCATCTGCGACGTCATGCACACCGCGAGTAACTGCAGTAGATTCGGATGCTCGACGCTGGCCATGATGTAAGCCTCGTCGAGAAATTCTTTGGACGTGTTCGCACCCGTGCCATTCTGGAGGACCTTTATAGCGACTGGGATCTTTACGTTCTCCCCTTCGGGCACCCAGACGCCCTTGAACACATCGCCGAAAGCACCGAAGCCCAATATACCGCCCTTTCTCATCTCTTCCTCCTTGATGATTCGTAGTTTGGCAAGATTTGGTTTCATCCCCGTCGGCCGAAGCGGTTCGTTGTCGTCCAGGCCGGTCAAAGCCATCGTCATCTTCACCGTGTTCTCCTTAGCTTTCGTTCTTATTCGCCAGAAGTACAGCAACGCAATGATGACGACAACAAACACCACAAATACGATTCCAATGCCGCCCAAAACGGCGGGATGAAAATCATTTTCCATCTGATAGCCAAGGCCTATTGTCTCCACGGAACAGTACGGTTCGCTGTCGGGGGGAAAGATCTTGTGAGGATATTCCGGCGGGCAAGTCTCCGTGCAGTTGAAAGATGTTGTATTTTCATCAGAGCCGTTTATCCTGTCCTAAATACATAAATTGTATAAACTTAGTATTGTTACTCTTAATTCTTTCATAGCAAAGTATATAGAATTTATATATTAAAAGTACGCTATTATAAATTACAAAGATAAATTATAAAGATATGTGTATTTTAATATCGATATAATAAAAGTTAATTCCAACTTTTTTGCTCCACAAGTCTGTTATCTATATTTACTAGATGCTCAATAAAATATCTTTAATACGCGTCTAGTAAATAAGACTATATTTCTAATATTATCGTATATCTACGTACAATATAAACTTTATAATTCCGGCATTTGTAACACTGATTAGGCTCTGGCCCAAAGCATCCTCGGCACTCTTCGAAGCACGGTATGCATAGCTGCGTGTCAGCATCCGCGAAATGATCAGCCGGACACTCGTCCTCGCATTGCTCTCCTCTCTTATACTTGGCGCATTCTTGACACATTTGTTCGTGGAAGCCGTAATTTGTGCACCTCTTGCAACGTGGATGGCACTTCTGACAGACGCCTTTTCCGACGAGAATTTTTAAAGGGTCGTCTTCTGGCTCTGAATCCGAACTATATAACTCGTAATAATGACCTGCGAATTACAAAAAAAGAAAAAAAAAACTTTTTTATAGCACCACTTACTATAAATTATATTACAAAAATATACTGTAGGCAATTTATTATTTTCAACTATCGCTCCGTGACAGTAATGTTAATTTTGAACAGCTATAGAATTAATGAGAATAAACGAATTAATAACTTCTTGCATTATTATATAATTATTGATCTTTTGATTAGAGAGTATATAAGAATGTCACGTTTTTCCGTTATAACATATTGATACAAATATTCATGTGTTCATACAAAAGTCATGAAGCAAAGTTATCGTGTATGACTTACTTTCAGGACACGATTCTGTCTTATGCAAACATCCCATTGGGACTTTGCCGTTCACAATTGCCTTTTCGCAACTATGACATCCGTTGGCGCTTATGTTGTTCTCCGGTCCCCTGCAACCGCCTACGCAGTTCTCGTGGCAGTGTTTACATTGGCCGTTGTCGTTGTACTTCGAGGACGGGCACTCGGACACACAGAACGGCCCGTCCCGCACGTGTTTGCACTTGTTGCATTGGTCGGCATTAGGCCCGGTGCAGGAGCCGTCGCATTCTTCGTGGCACATCTTACAGGTCTTTTCGTCCGCCTGATAAATTCTGGCAACATAATCGTAATCGATTGTCAACCGACGTCGAAACTTCGTGTGAAGAAGTAAAATACATAAAATCAGTGAGCAAACGAAAAAAGATTAGAGAGTATAACGGAAAGGGAACAAAGCATAAAGAATTAACAAAAATAAAAAATGGCACACACGAAAAATCGTTTAAATGTAATTAATGTTTAGAAATGTTTGCCACTCATGCCACTCGCTCTTTTAATACAAGTGCGAATTAAGGTGCAGTGAGTTACGATGAGAATGCACGTGCTCAATTTACACACGTAAATTGCTTACGAGATGGATAGAGATGAAAAATAGAACGGCGAAAATTGAGGCTTAAGCTCTCGCGGAAGATTTTCGATTTACCTTCAATCCATGATCTATGGAGGAGCAATTTCGATTGGACAGAAATCGCATTATTGGAATTTTCAACTTCGTGTTATATAATTTTACGTTCGCCGACTTACCCTGGCGCGGTGCAATCTTCAACACAGTCGGTTTCTAGAATGAAGTTCTTGCACGACAAACACTGTGCTGGTCCCGGTCCCCAACATCCTTCGTTCGAGCACTGCTTGTCGCATACGAGGCCATCCGCAACTGCAATTCAAATAATATTCCGTATTATTTTTTCATATAAAAATCGATCTAGTTTCATTTATCAATTATCACTGAATAAACGCCTTTTAAATGTTTACGTAATAATATTAATCATATTTTTAATTTAATCTTCAGACGAAATTATATAAAAATGTAAGAGCTTTCAAAATAAAATTTAGTATAATAAATATGTCAAATTTAATTCCATTCAGAATATGTACGAGGACATGTAAAGAGAAATTAGCTTTAAATTAGGAAAAAACTATGCTTACTTAAAGCTCTTTATTTATATACTTACTGCACTCAGACTCGTTTCGATTATTCGACAAGAGGCTTTCGTGCTCAGACGATTTCTTGATGCCGTTCCAATTGATGCTTTGCGCGTAACACAGATCTTTGTTCTCCAGAATAGCGATCGAGCCGGAATAAATCTTCTTCAAGGAACTGAGACCGAAGGACACCAGGGAGGTCTTGACGATGTACAACGACGCGAAATACTCCGTGAGCGTTCTACCGCCAATCACCTCGAGATTACGAAAGTACGAAAGGTTTTTGAAATCCTCGTGAGCCCCCTGAATATTGAGGTAGCCCGTGATTTCTTTCAGCGTTTTGAAAACCTCTAAGCTGTCAGGATGCATCCTTTCGTATCGTTTGCCGAACGTGTAGTTTGAAAAAACGTGCTGAAAACCCTCGAAGCTCTGATCCAGAATCGTGATGGATCCTTCGATAATCGTGCAATCCTTGAAGGTGTCGATGTTACCGGAATGCACGCTCTTCTCCACGCCCTTGCAGGTCTTCGGGCAAGGACCGTCGCAGGGAACGCACTCGCCGTTCACCGCCTTCTTCTTCGGCGGACAGGCTCTCACGCATGCACCGTTGTCCTTCAAGAGATGCTCCGGACATCGTCTCACACAGGTCGCCCCGTACGCGTACTTCCCGTCGGGATTGGCTTCCCACGAATATGTCGTTGGATTGTATCTGAAATTAAGGGAATCAATTTAAATATCTATTAATATATTCTCTTATTAATTTCAACATGTAATTAATCTGGATCCGATAGGCAAACTTTATCCCAGTTTTTTCATATATTAAATTTAGTACTTAGAAGACTTCAGAAGAGTGTTATATTCGTCTGGTTATTTATGTTAAAAAAATTATATCTTTCGCAGCAAATTTTACGTCGGTCTTGTGACGAGGATATATTGTAGGTACATATAATGTTTAAGACTTACTTTTGCATAGGAGGGCACTCCTGCGTGCAAACGCCGTCGTCGAAGAAATTCTTACAGGCGAGACAGTCGCTCTGTTTGGGGCCGGTACAACCGCCCGCGCAAAAAAGATGACAACATTCGCGTGGATTAGGACCGAAGCACCTGCCCTGCCAGCACTGAGGCGAACAGTTCGTCTTGGAGAACTTCTGACAGTTCTCCGGACCTTCGCCCCAGCAGCCCTGCGTGCAACTCTCGTCGCACGCCGGACACGCGCGTTCCGGCGACGTAAAATTATATACGTAAAAATACCGTCCCCCCTGGCCTGTGATTATTTCCTCCCAATTGATAGTCTTGATGTGGCAGAGGTTGTAGTTGTTGTACATGCCCACGCTCCCGTTGAGTATATCTACGACAGAATCAAACGCGACAAGTTAGATATTGTCGCAAATCGAGACAACAGAATAGTTTGTCTTAAATTTCACGTCTAAATATTATCCGATTAACATAGCATTATTTTTAATAAGTAATTTGATGAATTAAGAAATATGAAATTTGTATATTTATAAGCTTTGTTTTTATTTTATATGAATATTAATATCGAATAAATAAAAACTTTAAAATTATTCAAAAAAACGAATATTTTTTAAAACTATAATAGCGTTTCCGATTTGTTGACTCGATCCGAGTCGATGGTCTGTTGTTTTTAGCTTTAAAAGAATAGTAAAAGTGTGCAAGAAACGCTAGAAAGAACAGACCATTTTGACTCGGAGTCAACAAATCGAAAACGCTATAAGTCTGTTCGCATTGAATGTACTGCAAAAGTTTTTGAGAATTTCAAGCAACGCTTTGAACAGACATAATATCTTCACTTTCCCTTTTTTCAATGCTCGAATATCTTCAAATCGACCATACATTAGCCATATTTTTTATTGGCTGCTTTATTTTAGAAGACAAAGCCGCGAACAGCTAATAAATATATGGCTGAAAAATATGGCTAATATGATCGATTAAATTTGGAGATGTTCGAGCATTGAAAAAAGAAAAAATGAAGATATCAAGTCTGTTCGCGTTGCCTGAAATTCTTAAAAACTTTTGCAGTACATGCAATGCGAACAGACTTGTAGTTTTAAAAAATATTCGTTTTTTGAATAATTTTAAAGTATATTTATTCGATAAACATTACGATAGACATTACGAATAGATGATAGACGAACCGTTAGAGATAGATTATTTATTCGAACTTTATTTGAGTTATGTGAACTTGAACGAAGACGTCTAAAGACGTAATGCTAATATAAGGTATAAAGTAGGCTAACGTTACCTCTGAGGGACGGCATCTCCAGGTTGTGCATTTGACACATTGTAACGAAGAGGGCGAACTCGTGGTCGTGAATATTGAGCTTAAAAAGGGTCCTGCCACGGATGATCTGTAGGCTCGGGAGGATGATCCTGGGCACGTCCACGTGACTGATGAGCACGTAGCCGGTGACCTCCCGTATGTATTGAAGGAAGCTGAGGTCGAAGGACTTGTTCTGGAGCCATGTGATCTCCAGGTTGCCATCGACGTAAGTACAGTTGGTGTACCGGTCTCGAAGATTCCGGTAGTGATGTTGTTTGTTGGACGGCACGGAAAGACGGCCATTTGTACCGATGCAAACTATACGCAAAAAAAAAAATAACATGTATAAGTTACAATTTGTAAGATGTATATAGAGAGAGATGTAAAAAGATCAATATTTTGTTTGTATTTTACTTTTAATTTCTTCATTGTAAAAACTATAAGAAAATCCAGGGAAACAATCGTAATAATAGTGTTAGCAACATAATATATTTTATTTATACCATTTATTATGGTGATTTAAAGAGTGAATCTCTATATTTATTAATTATTATTATATTATTATTCTTTAGTTTAATTAAATTTGTTTCTAATCCCCATCATAATTTATCCTATTTATTTGGTTACGTCAATTTCATTTATTAATATTCCGTTTATTCAAATTAATATTAAAGCTAATGAATGGTGATCTAACGGTATTCGTTCATACATCAATGAGTATCATAAATTGCATATATCTTCTAAGTATAGTATAGTAACGATAGATTTAACACAGTAGTTTATTGGGCAATTCAAATAACGGTTTAGATTGAAGCCGAATATCGAGATTAGATGAGATTTTCTTTATGTAATAAAAAGAAACCGCGCGTAATTCATTTCCGATTACGATAGCTGTAGATTCCACCCACACTGTCAAAGAGTATTCTCCGCGATCTATAGATAGTAGTTCTACGTACGAAGCGTGTCATATCGGTGGGCGAACCACCTCTGTAAAATGCAGCACACGCGCCGCCGTGATTTCGTTGTGCAATTACGATCTTGAGTTGACTGTGTTCAAATGACCGGCGTAATACATTCAAAGGCATCGTGTATATACTTCATGTAAGTTATGGCAAACGTTCGTGGCTTACAGAACGGGGCAAGAGAATTTCCGTAAGCCACGAAGTTGCTTGTACTTTCTGGCAAAAACGGTCATTTAATCGTATATCCACAAGAATTGATATTAACATTGAAAGACGTCCACATAAACTTCCCATATAAGCTACTTTCATATACAAATTAAAATTAATTTACGATTCTCTCTTGAAAGAATGTAAGTGTTTATTTAGCCGAGCTTAGAAGAGAAAGTAAGTAACGTTTGTCATTGCAGAATATTATTTATATTATGCAATTTTTTATATAATAAAATTTAAGACAGATACGTTTATGTAAATTTTGTATAAATAAAAAGTTAAAATTTAATATAATAATAAAATATGATTCTTTTATATAGTATTTTTAAATCTACGTTTAATTGATATAGTTTCAAATAAATTAAAATTATATTTTTTTATTAAGTAATTAAGATTACATATTAATATAAAATATATTTATTACATGTAACAAATTTCTACACGCTTATTATATTTTTTACTAGTTATAAAGAGAATTCTGGATAGAAATATGTGAGATATTTAAAATAATTTGAAAAATTCTTTTACAATTTTTGATATTGATTCAACAACAGAAAAAATTGTGCCTTTTTAAAGACTCTATCGCACTTATAACTTATTTTATTTCTACAAGTATTATAATAATACCTATAATAAAAATCAAGATACTTTGAAAAAATATTGTCTCACTAATTAAGTATAATTCTTCCTGCAGCAACCCAATAATTGACACAATTATAAATATCGCAAAGAATGTTATATAGAAATTAACCGAACGAGTGAATTCTCCTTGGCACGTAAAAACGGCCATATAGAAAAGAGCCCAAGGCTTTATTAGATAGCTTCGCGCAAATTCCTCGCGAAGCAAGAAAATGATCCGCCGCCGTGGAGAGCATAGTCGCACGTTCGCTCCCCCGGAATTTGGTTTTGCTCGCAGCTTAAATCGCGCACTCGCATCAGTCCTCGCGGACAGTCCTCGCAAACCAGCGGACGCGATCGGCACGCGGTGCCGAAAGGGCGGTCTTAATCTAACCGGCGATCGGAATCATGCGAAAATAATTGCGCGGTAAGAACATCCTTCTTGCGCGAGGGGTATTGGTTCCTGCAGGAGGGGTGTACCGTATAGAAGAAGACCCGTCGCGTCCTCCGTTGCCGACAATGTCGGAGAGATCGGAGGACCAAGGAGGGAAAGAACCGACGGAACGAACGCGAACCCGAGGTACCCATGTATTTGTATCGGCCAGCTGCTACTCAGAGAGAGAGAGAGAGTCACGGGATACCAAATGCGCGTACCGTGGCATGGCGCCAGGAGCCCCGAGAATGCAGACCGAGCGTGGATCTGCATCGGCGATCGGGGACCGCGCAGGTTTTCTGTCGTGTTCTACCCCCGTGTCTCACGGAGACTCGAGCCGCATGGAAGATGAACGACTTGATTGTCATAATGAAGAGGTATGGCGAATATTTGTCGAAATATTTGTCCTGCGATTTTTCGTCGAAGCGAGAATACCGCTGTGAAATTACAAGATCTATCGTTTGACGCACAGAGAGATTGCTCTGTATTTAACAAATAAAACTTTCATAGTTAATATCAAGAATGATAATGAAAATACTTAAAGTATCGATCATGAATCCTATCCGATTTTTTTGCGAATATTTGCTGAAATATCTGTCTGACGATTTTTTTTTTAATAAGGAGAAAAATATTCTGCAATAAAATAAAAAAACAGGCCATGGTTTGATAAACAGGAAAAATGTTTTGCTTCGATGAATTTTTTTCTACAAAATGCTGTTACGTTTCAAAATTATAATAGATTAATTAACAAAGTCAGATGAGCTCGTGTTCGCATTCTCGATGGTGCAAGATAAGAATACATTACATAAAGGGCAACTTGCGTTAATTGGAAGCACTGATCATGTCATCTCGAATAATATCATTTGCCCCTTTGTATGTTTCCTCTCGTCAGATAATTTGCTATCTTATAATAAATATTTTCGTTCTTTTTTTAGATTTGCAAAGTTTAGCATTTCAATTATTCAGAATACACGTATTATTATAGAACTCTGAAATAATAAATTTCAAGTAATATAAGTAAATTAAAATATGTCTAAGTTTGTATTGTCCATTTTATTGTCTATTTTTAGCAGTCGCTGCTGCTAAAAATGAACAGTGTATCGCGTGACTGACATTTAGAGCTAATACAGTCGACAGATGCTATCCGGTAAACGAATTATGGACCTAAACCGAAACGTAGAGCGGCTCGAGTCGACACGTCGGGAGGAACTTATGGGCGCTTCGGCACGGCGTGCTTGGCGGTGGAAGGTGGTCCGATAAAAAGGGGCACCGCAAGCGTGATGGCTGCACGGACGTTTAGACAGGAGGAAAGTGGAAGAGAAGTTCGCGCCGGAGAAGTGTCGGTTAAGGTCGGCGGGCCGACACGTTCCACGTTCTTGTTTTCCTACAAGCTCCGAGGCTCGGCTCACCCGCGCAGCACGAAATTCATCATTAGATCCTCGGGGCTGGGATACACCTCGGCTGAGAAACGTGCTGATTATCCCCGACGGCGGGGCTGCGAAAATTGCCCGGCGAGAGCCGCTCGCGTGGAATTAACATTCTGCCAAATTTATGACGCCTGCACCGCAGCCGAAGACAATGGCGGTGGTGATATTGATTACGGGCGTGGCGCGAATATCGCCTTCCTTACCATTATGCGAGAGGTTCGTAGGAAACCACCCCTCCCCTCCAACCTCGCCGCTAGAACTAACTGCAAGTAGTTATCGTAGTTTGGCATTTATAGAAGTGATGATCATAGTTAGAATACTAATTTCATTCGCTGAGTGGATACCTATCTCTTACAATCGCTTAGGGAATAAATTTGGCCAATTATATAAAATAATAAAGAAAAGTATGAAAAAAAGAGATACAGGGCTCTTAATTTCATTCGTCCTTTAAAAGAACTCCGGCGTTAGTTGATATAATAGAGGTCTTTTCGCGTATTTCATAATTCGCTGAGTGAATACCTATCTCTTACAATCGCTTAGGAGATGAATTTGGCCAGTTGTATAAAATAATAAAGAAAAATATGGGAAAAAGAGATATAGGGCTGTTAATTTAATTCGTACTTTAAAAGAACTCCGGTGTAAGTTAATAGAGTAGAATAGTCTTCTCGCGTATTACAAAGAAGATATTTATGCGTAACAAAGTTATACAATGAGGACGGCAACAAAAGGCTGGAATTTTGCAATCTCAAATCTCGCAGGTTTAAATGCGAACGATAAATCTGACAAAAAATATCGCGAAATGTGAGAGATAAGGGAGACGTAGGATGCGAAGAAACAAGTGGCCGGCGGGACGCGACGCCGAAATCCCGCGGTGAGGTTCCTTTTGTGAGAACGAGAAAACAGTACGTCGTCGTACGGAGTCATACGTGGTTTCTTCGACCACCTTCTAGCGGGAGAACATCGAGAGATTTTTATGCGGCACTTTAAAATGCTCCCTTCTCCATTAAAGTCCCAAAGTAATACGAAATAACCGCACGCCGATGGCAGCGGCGGCGGCGGCGGCGGCAGCGACGCCGTTTATTTGAGCTCGTAAACATCGATACTGTCGAGCCTCTCACAATCCCCACCATCTCGAGATCGTTTCTAGGTGTTAAGGCCCCCTCTTTCCCTCCTCTTTCTCTCAGTCTCCCTTGTAAAACGGAGCCCTGCGGCTAAATGCCCGACGAAATAAAATCCGGGTATCGTAAACGCGCGAAATAACTATTGGTTCGAACTCGAGAAAGAAAAGAAAAAGAGAATTCAAGGTGAGAAAGGATTTCGGAGTAGGGATAAAAAAAATTAAGAGAAAGAGAGATAAAAAGGAGAGGAAGGCAGGGGGAGAGAGAGAGAGAGAGAGAAAGAGAGAGAGAGAGAGAGAGAGAGAGAGAGAGAGAAGGGGGAGAAAGCAATTTATTACTTCGAGGAAAACTCATGAGCAAAATACAAAAATAATAATAAGTAGGTTAATAACTGTATAAAAGCATAATAAAGCAAAAGTGAGAAATAGTTTGAATTAACAAACAATAAAAGTTATAAAGGAATACAAGAAATATAAGATGAAAAACTTTCCACTTTTTAAAGAAGAATTTAATAAGTGTTAAAAAGAAAAGGTGAGATGAGTGAACTTTT